AACATGGCTACTGTTGGCCTGAACTAGAGTAGTGCCATGGAAATGTACTGTACTACTCTCAGATTAGGAAATTAAAGTTTAGCTCTGTATTGGTACTTTTTACATCCTGTATTTTTATTCTGTCCCTTTGGGGGAGGGATAAAAGCCACACTTTAAAATTATATTACCTTTTTGTTTTAACGTGTAACTTTGTAAAAAAAGTATGTGATTAGAAAAATGTTTTATTTTGAGGACCAGGGAAATAGCTCTCAGTGGCATAAGCACCTGCCTGGCAAGTGCAGGATTCTGAGTTTGATCCTCAGTACCAAAAAAATAGTTTGATTTCTTAAGCATTAGCTATGTTCTGTCCATAGATAAGTTGATAAGATCACATTCTTTAGAGTAAAATAAACAAGGTGAAGGTTCAGTTCCTGTTTCTGTGTTTCCATCTTGGATAAAATATTCCTGATGCTGAGCATGGTGTCCTGGAATCCTAGCACTCAGGAGGCTGAGACAGGAGAATCATAAATTTGAGTCTGCTGGGCTGCACAGTACATTCAAGCCCAGCCTGGAGTATATAATGAGACCTTAAGGCCGCTGTCCCCACCCCTCAAAAAAACACACTTGGTTATTTAGTAGAACCACAGTATTTAGTTTTTATAGCCTTTCTTTTGAGATCATGTATCTGACCTATAGCAGTGGCACCATGCTTTGTATAGTTAAAAGACTTAGAACTGTATCCGTAACTTTTCCAAGGGAAGTCAGGTGCAGAGTTGCTACCTCTTCCTTAAAACATAGAAAAAATAACAGTCTTTTTTTTTTAAGCTATTCTAAGATATACTGAATGTGGTTGGGTTAAACTGGGAAAAGGGGATGAACTTACTCAAAAGGAAAGAGTTACTGAGTTGAGAAGGATAGGAGAGGAAGTCAGGAAAAGAGATTTATCTGGGTACGTAAGTAGGATGGTTTGGACAGCTGTACTGTGCATTTCTGCTGGTCTGTGGAAAGGAGCAGATAATACTTAGTTTTGCCTCCATTTTTCAATTGTTTGTATCTTTTCTCTTAATATCTTACACATTTCTCTCCAATTTTACATGCATCTATCTGGTAATATGAAAAACTGGTTGGAAGATAACACTATATTATAAGAAATACTGTGAAATTCTTACTACTTTGTTAAGTGAAATTCTGTATCACTTGTAACTTTTTATTTTAATTCTAATTTGTAGTCTGTTTAAAAAATAAAGTTAAACTAGTCTTAGAAATACATTATGCAATTATGTTGTGATTGGGATGCCTATGGGATTGCCACTAGAGATGTCCATGCATACTTGAAAGTCAGAGGGGACCCGGGCTGCAAATACAGATGTATTTGTTCGGAAAGGAGGGAGAAGTAAGCTCTGTCAAATGTGATAAAATAGGAAAGGATTAAGAAGTGTCTAATAATTGAGATAGTGCAAACTGCAGTGATGTTGATGAAAGCAGTATTAATTGAATTGTGAGTATAGGCACTACTAAAGGAAATGAGCAGAAAAATGAGAATAAAGTCTGTGTTTCTTTGTCAGTACTATATTAGACACTTTTGAGTTGTAGATGTATGGTTACAAATAATTGGAAACTAAGTTTTTGAAGAATACCTGAGCTTAACAGGACTGTATAGTTAGGAGGACACTAGTGATTATGAAATGTTTGCATCTTATATCCTGGTGTTTTTTGTGGTTTTTTTTTTTTTTTTTTTTTTTTTTTTTTTTTTTGGTTTTTTGTGGAACCGGGGATTAAATTTAGGCCCTTGCCCTAAAAAGTGGGCATCTACAGAGATAGGAACATTATTAATCTTCAGATTCGAAGAAAAAGGCTAACCAGTGGAACAGAGGGTTGAGTACAGTTATCTTTTCATATCATTACTAGCACTCAAAAGACTACAAATAAATGTGAAAGATCGTTAAGTAGATAGTTGAGATTTGTTAGCTAAGTATGGCACTGCAGTACTTAACTACTGATGGGAATTGAGTTATGTTGGGCCAAGTAAGGAATTTTGCTTGATAAGAGCAGCAGAAATGCAAGAGAAAGTGTAAGGTGGGAAAAAAGGTTGTAAAAGGAACCATAACATTTGTTAAGTGGAGTAGAGCAGTAGGGAAAACTGAAAATGCATTATTAGGAACTTAGAACCAGAATATCAAGAGGTTCAGGATGAAGTATAGTGAACAGTTGTTGAGAGCTAGTAGGAATATGAGATTGAGCGGTCAGTAGTTTATATGATGTAGCAGTTTTTTGGATGATAAAATTGAGCTTGTTGGGAACTAAAGATCATTTTCACATTGAGGTGAAAGACAAGTGCTAAAATTTTGGATGTGTTATTGAACCTGCTTAAAAGTCTAGTTCACTTTTTCTTCAGTAATTTATCAGAAGTGATGTTGTTTTGAATGTTCCTGCTTAAAATATGAGATATTTCCTCATGTTACTGTCAAATTTTAATCATCTGATACCCTTATTCTGAGAGTGTATTGCCTCATACTTGTCAGCCCCCAAAATTGTTCAAGACCACCTCTCCCTTTCCTTCTCTCTCTCCCTCTTCCTCTCCTGGTGGTCCTACATTTTGAGGATTTTCTTGTTCCTTGATCTCTTTCTTTACTAACAAAGCTAATGCTTATTATGTAGGCTTTTTTTTTTTTTTTTTTGTGGTACCAGGGATTGAACTCAGGACCTTGCGCTTGCCAGGCAGATGCTTATGCCGCCCTATTTAGGCTTTTCGAAATATCAAATATTCTTTGTTATTTAAATTTTTTGAATAAATACTCTATTGATATTGAAAATGCAAGTCTCTTCTATAGATGGCTATATTTAATTAAATCTATCTTAATTGCCTCATCCTAACTTGTCAAGAATGAGATTCCTACTGAATTTTTTTCTTCCTTTTTATCTTTTTTAAGAATTTTTTTATTTTTTTCTTCCTTTTTATTTAAAAATATTGTTTTTCTTCATAAGTATATGTTATATTCATTTATACATTCAGTACATGATAACTGAGTGGTCACTATATAGTAGATACTCTGTACTGGTTTGAGAAGTGGATTCACTCATGGTAAAACATGTGATCTGTAGTTTGTGCTTTTCACCACACTTGAAAGTATTGCATCTCTTTTCTGCCCCTATAAACAAAAGAGATGAAAAGGAAATTTTCCATTCACCATTGCTCACTTCTGCAGTGTGCTGCCATCATTTGGTTGACTCTAAGCAAGTCATTTAGACGGTAGAATAACAGTTCTCAAACTTCCTGGTTTCATGACTCCTTTAAACGTAAAAAGTTTATTAGAGGACTCTAAAATAACTTGTTTAAAGGTTGGGGGTTTTTTTAGGTTTTTTTTTTTTGTAAATCTAATGTTTGGCATAATAGAAAATGCCTGGATTCTGTTCTTAAAGCCTAAAGTTTGAAGCTAAAGATGACTTGGGGTTTCCAGCTACCATTGAGAAGTGAGTGTTATGGTACAGGTGGTTTTTTTTTTTTTTTTTTTTTTTTGCGGAACCAGGGATTGAACTCAGGCCCTTGTGCTTGCCAGACAAGCACTTATTCTACTGAGCTATCTCCCCGGCCCCTGGACAGGTGTTTTATGTTTATTTTTGGTCTCTAAAATTTGAATGGAGGACATTTCCACTGGTCTCAAAGTTCTTAGGATTGTAAAACATATTTGAAGTTAAATGAAGATTCTTCTATGTTTTGAAATGGATGCTATGACTTTTAATTGTACCACAGAGATTATATTCCTTTCTGTCAAGTCATTTTTCACATAAAGCTTTGGGTAACTAATTTAGATAATTTTCAGTAATCTGGAAAATTGAAGGAAATGGAATTTCTCCCTGGATTCTGGTGCCTTCAAGGTAATGTGGCTCCATTAATGTAAGTTAATGTAGCTCTTTGCCTGTTTTACCCATTAACACACACTCTTCATGTCAGTTTAAGAACTTAACTAGACTCATTTCCTATCTTGGAATGAGCGTATTGGTCATACTACGTTAAAGAATGGAAGAAGCCCTGAAAGTCAACACACACACACACACACACACACACACACACCTTTTTTTTTTTTTTTTGGTACTGGAAATCAAATTTAAGACCTTATACTTTCCAGGCAGGTACTGTGCTCCTGAGCTATATCACTAGCCCCCTTATTCAGGGGAGACTAATGCTAGAAGAAGCCAAGATTCTTTTGAAAAATTAGGGACCAGTAGTTGTCAACTTTGACTAAACTTTGAAAACACCTGTTAATCATTTGCCTTTAACATTGACATATTGAAGTGCTCTTACCACTGTAAATCAGACTATTCTCCCTCTTCCTCGCCTCCTCCTCCCTCTTTCCTCTTCCTTTTCTTCTTCCCTCTTCTCCCTCCCCTTAACATTCCTTCTTCCCTTCTTCCTTGCTCGTCTTCCTCCTCCTCTTCTCAGTGTCTCACTATGCAGCTCAGACTGGCATTGAGCTCACATTGTAACTGAGCTAGTCTGGTCTGCAATGATCCTCCTTTCCTCAGGCTAGATTCTTAGTTTAGGAGGCTTTATTTTCTTAGCTTTTCAGAGATGAGTAACTTCGTGGAAAATGGAACCTTTTGATTTTGAAAACTATTTATTTGTATTTTTTGAGGCGGAGTCTTGCTGTGTAGTTCAGGCTGGTGTTGAGCTCACTTTGTAGTTCAGGCTGGTCTCGAACTTGTAATGATCCTCCTGCCTCAGCTTCGTGATCACTGGGATTACAGGTGTGTGCCACTATACCTGGCTCTTGAAAACTTTATTTTAAATTATCAAGTTAACTTAGTAGTTTTTAGAATTTTTGTATGTATGGCAGATAATGTTAAAGTCTAATCAATAAGGGTTTATGATGAGTTTTTTTGGAATAAATTGAAAGAAATGATCTTTGGATTTTCAGAAGCACTAATTGTATTAAAATTTTATCTTTCATTATTTATTATTCAGTGTTTGAGTTGTTCTTTTGGGTATAGGCTTTAAAAAAAAATGTTTATTTTTCCAATAGGTGAAAGCACTGAAAGAGAAGATTGAATCTGAAAAAGGGAAAGATGCCTTCCCAGTAGCAGGTCAAAAATTAATTTATGCAGGTAGGAATTAAATTTGCCATGTCTTGCTTATGGTGATGTTTTTGAATTTTAGAAATGTCACATTACAGTTTACAGTATATTTAAATTGATTCTATCATAAACATAGATAAAAGCAGTAAAAAGAGTAGTCATAAAATGACATTTATATCCAACTTTCTCTTTACTCGAATTGTTTATTTTATTTATTTAATTTTAGGGAAGGGCCTACAGGGTGCTCATTCTCTCACTACTAGATCCAACTCATAGTGATCCACCTAATTACAGCCTCCCAAGAGCTGGGATTACAGGGGGCTACCACACCCAGTCTCAATTGCTTTCTCAGCATGCCCCAGGGGCAGGGCCAGCACGCAGGCCAAGGGATCAAACCCCTGGCCCCTGTGCCTACTTGCAGGCTCTTTAATCTGCTGAGTTATTTGGTTGGCCCCTTCTTTACTCACATTGGCCTCATATATTTTTCCACTAAATGTCGTTTTATTTCTTTTGTAATGATTGTATAATTGGCTTTTCTGTTTTTAATGAAGCTGAGTGTGTTGGTTTTACTACTTTTAATGAATTGGGACCATACAGTCATTTTATTTGTGTACTCAAAATCCAATTTAATACTTTTTTCTTTGAGGCAGGGTCTCATTATATAGCCCAGGCTGGCCTCACATTTGCAGCAATCCTTCTGCCTCAGCCTCCCAAATACCAAGTGTCTATTTTTAAATAAACCACTAAAACTGACTGAAGTATGCAGAAAGTCTTTTATGTTTAGAGGCACTATAAATATGTGGGGGGAAAAGATTAGAGTTCTTGGATAAAGAGTTCTTAGAAATCAGTAAGGAAAAGGTGCTCCATTAAAAAGCAGCTAATGTCCCTGGCAAGCACAAGGGCCTGAGTTCAATCCTTGGTTCTGCAAAAAAAAAGAAAGAAAAAAAAAAAGCAGCTAATGAAGGGAACAGAAATTTGCAAATTTTATTATCCTCACTAGTAACTAGGAAGGTCTTATTAAAAAATAGACTTGATATCCAAATTTAATAAAGTTCTCTTTGTTCTTCAAAAGAATACTGAGCACTGTCCTAAATATCAAAAAGTGAGTCTTCAACTACATGCAAACTGCTGTTCTTTTCTAGATCAGAAGTTTTGTAGTATTTCTTTAAATGAAGTGGTTTAGAGAATGGACTGGATCAGAATTCAGAGTCCTAATGAAGCAGGCATAGAAATACAATTTATGGTACCTGTAGCCTGTTCTTTAATGTTTATACAGAATAGAGGTAAAGACTGTACTTTCTGGTTAATGCTTATTTTTTTTAAAGTGGAAAACTAAAGGCTGGTCATATAATTCAGTGGTAGAGCACTTGCCTAACATGTATGAGGCCCTGGATTGCGTCCCTAGTCCTGGAGGTAAAAAAGAAAAACTGAATTCCAGAAAAGAAAACCTCCAAGGTGTTCTTTTATAGTATCTGGCCTTCCGTAGAATACAGTCGTAGGGGACTGGGGAGATGGCTCAGTGGAATAAGTGCTTCCCTGGCAAGTGCAAGGGCCTGAGTTCAATCCCCAGTTCCTCCAAAATAAAAGAGAATACTTTCGTAGGTACCCTACCTATGCTTTAAAGATTGCTTGATATTGGGCTGGCTGTGATGTCACATGACTATAATTCCAGCACTCAAGAAGCTGAAGGAAGAGAATTACTGTGAATAAGATGGGAAACACCCAACCCCACCCCCCATTTCACGATCAAACTCAAAACCTTGAGCTTGCCAGGCAGGCACTTATGCCACTGAGCTATCTCCCCAGCCATGAGAATTATTATGAGTTCTAGGCCAGCCTGAACTACACAGACCCTGTCTCAAAAACAAAGAGCTGGCCGGATAGCTCAGCAGGACTAAAGCTCCTGCTTAGGCAGAGCATAGCAGCCGGGGTTTGATCCCCTGTAGATAGACCCTATAGACTCTGTACTAAATACATTAAAAAAAAAAAAAAAAAAGCAAAGAAAAATCACTTGGTATTGTATAGATGGTAGATATATTTGGCATCTTTTAGTCAGGTGTTTGTGCGTTCTTAACTAATGTATTCTTACTTGTGTTTTTATTTTGGTTGATTGGTTAATGTTTTAGTTGGGAAAATTATTAATGGAGTTAACATTGGTGATTAGTAGGAAGTTACTGATTTCATTTATGTGATAAAGATTACAGTGGCTTAAATAACATTTTTTTCCTTCTGTATTAGGTAAAATCCTCAATGATGATACGGCTCTCAAAGAATATAAAATCGATGAGAAAAACTTCGTGGTGGTTATGGTGACAAAAGTAAGTTTCCGTCGTGTTCTGTGTCTTTATGTATGTGAGTCTTTAAAAAACGATTCAGGGCCAGGGAGATGGCTCAGTAGAGTAAGTGCTTGCCTGGCAAGCGCAAGGGCCTAAGTTCAATCCCTGGTTCCACCAAAAAAAAAAAAACTATTCAGATTCCACATAGTAGGCACAGTTTATGTGTCCGTGGCATTGTGTGCCTCACTGCTGTTCAAAGTAGCTTTAAAGTTGACCTTGAGTCAGCTATTAATTGACAGCTTTATACATTTATAGTTTTTAAACTAAAACAATTGAAATGTTTAAAAATCATATTAAAATTGGTTTTGCTAGGATAGTTAAATACTATCTTGGTTTCTTTTCTCTTGTTGCTGGAACAAAATACCCAACACCCAAAATTAAGGGAGGAAAAGTTTATTTAGCTTACAGTTTGTGGAGGTTTCAGTCCATACTGGCTCCAAGGCAGAGTGGCACATGGAAGAGGGCAGCAGATCAAGGAGATGGAAAAACAGAAGAGCAAAAAGGGAAGAGCTGTGGCGGCAGCAGCAGAGACAGCAGCTCTTCCCCCTCCTTACATTGCATTCACACTATCCGCCCCAAGGCTGGTAGAGGAGCACAAACTGTAGAAGCCACCCCATGACTGCGTGAGGCTGGGGGGGGCACAACTAGATACAAACTATAACAAGTACTGTGTAAGCCTTACAAATACGATTAGCAGGACCAGGGTTATCACCCAGGGTCCAGCATATGGGAACCCTGGGTTTGATACCAGCATTTTTTAAAAAATGTGCTTAACAACTAAATGAACATCTTTTATTCTGTACCTTTTAGTATCTCTTAATAAAACTTTAAAGGAATTTGAGATAGTACTAAACCTGATAGATTTTAGGCAGAAAAGATGTGAAATATAAACACATTATTTCAGTGATACTTCTTTGCAAAAAAAATAGTTTTTTATGAAGAAATATAAATGGGAATTTTTTTTTGTGATTTATTGGACTGAAGTTACTTGGAGTTTTTGTTTTGGGGGATTGGGGGTTTTGTGTTTCAGGTTTGTGTTTGTGTGTATGTGTGTTTGAGACAGGTCTCACTGTGTAATGCAGGCTGTCCTTAAGCTCACATAACCCAGAGTGGTCTCAAACATGGGACAATCTTCCTAAATTACAGGATTATTTATAAAAGTGAAATTTTTCTCTCTGAGAATGACCGTGTATTCTTTGAGAACTGTTAACTTATTTACTTGGCTTAAATACAAGTTAAAATACTTGTTTGTTAAGGATACAGGGGGCAACTACCCACTCGGGCCTCCCTCCTGTCCCTCTCTCTCAGACAGAAGCTTTCTTTCCCTCAGTAAATATATTCTGCTCATTAAAAAAAAAAAAAAAAAAAAAAAGAAAAAAAATCATGCAGTGGAGAGTTAAGACAAATACAGAAGTACTGTTCATGAACTTAATTTTTAGGATTGAATTGTCATGTAATTGGAAGGAACAGTGTTATCAGTAGCTTTAAATTATAATGAAACACCTGAGATACCTACTTTGTAAGAAAAGATGCTTTAGGGCCAGCCAAATAGTTCAGCGGATTAAAGTGCTTACAAGCAGGCCCAGGGGCCCAGGGGCCCAGGGTTCAATCCCCAGGCCTGCTGAGCTGAGACAGCGATTAAGACTGTGTGTGGTGGCATGCCCATGTAATCCCCCCAGCTCTTGGGAGGCTATAAACAGGAGAATCACTACGAGTCCAATCTAGTAGTGAAGACCCTTCCCTATAAAACACAGGAAAAAAAAAGAGATGCTTTAGTTCAGTTTTAGAAACTGGAAATCCAACAGTATGGTTCAGGCTCTGGTAAGGATCCCTCTTAGCTGCATTACATCTTAGGGAGAGACCACGTGCATTTCTGTCCATGTGTGGTCTCTCCTTGCCTCAGTCATCATGGTTCTACCTTGATAATGTGGCCTAATCACTTTTCACAAGTTGCATATTTAAACTCTGCAGTCAGATTCTTTGCACACTCTTAGTTACTATTACTTTAAAACTTCGTGTGGCTGGGGAAATAGCTCAGTAGAATAAGCGCTTGCCTGGTAAGCACAAGGTCCTGAGTTCAATCCTCAGTACTGGAAGAAAGAAAAAGGGGGGGGAACCCCACAAAACTTAAGGACTGAGTTCTACAGGTGGGTTGGAGGCAAGTTACTGCGCAATGTTACTTGCACCAGTAATTGAAAACATTTTATCCAAGGCCAAAAGTGGAACAAAAGTGAGGATTTTGTTTTTAGAATCACAAAGTAGTTTATTGTAATTGAAAATAATTTTAATTACTACAAACTGAGAAATAAAAAGCTGCTCAACAGTTTATATGCTAATTATTTTTTATTTTTTATTTTTTGTGGAACCAGGAATCGAACTCAGACCCTTGCACTTGCCAGGGAAGCACTTATTCTACTGAGCCATCTGTCCCCCCGGCCCCTTGAATCTGAATTTTTTTTAATCACATAAGGGCCAAAATGATTTTGCTGTATTTAAGCATCAAGCATGCAGTCTCACAGTCATGACTGTGCAAGTGTCCTGTCTTGCTCCACAACTTGATTTTCAGTTTACACTAACACCTCATTCTGTTATCCCTGAGCAACTACCATTCTACTTTCTATCTCCTCTCACTCTAGGTTCGTAATATAAGTGCACTTTTACAGTAATTGTCCTTTTGTGTCTGCCTTATTTCACTTAGCATGGTATCTTCAGGGTTCGTCATAATTCATTTCTTTTATGTGTCTCTTTTTTTACGGTACTGGTGATTGAACTCAGGATCTTGCGCTTGTGAGGCAAGAGCTTATTCTACTGAGCTATCTCCTTGGCCCTTCATTCCTTTTAAAGCTGAATATTTTTTTCTCACTAGTTTCATACATATTATATAAGGGTAAATGTGATAATTATATACATGGATGTGTTTTGTTATTGCTGACATCTTTATATTACAGCACCTTGATTGAGAATGTAAGATATTAGCAGATAAGATCTCAAAATCAATACAAGTCTTTAAGGAATACATACTTATGTTACATAGAATTCTGATAATCACACATAATAAAGGCCAATTATTAGAAAGGAAAGAAGTTTCCTATAGTTTAATACTATGGAAGCAATGAAAAGGCCTTATTAAAAATAAAGGAAAAAGTCGTTTAAATCAAAAGTAAGATGAAAAATTTCAAAAAGCGGAGGGGCTTGGTACTATTTAGGATAAGGTTTAAGCTAGTCTTTGTAGAGAGCATTCTTCAAGGCATGATCTATTATAATATTCTGTTTTTTTCTCTATGATATCCTGTTGACAAGTAACTAAGGAAAATGTTAAGTGAGTATAATACATTTAAAATTATCTTTATTCAGATTGATTATGACAATATTGTGCTTTGTAAAAAACAAAGTCTTCAACTTTAGGAAGCTCTGATCTAGCCACAATTTCATTACCTAAGGATCTCATCTCTGTAGAGTTTCAGAACATCAATAATCTCTATTACTTTGGCAGTTAGAGTTAGAGAGCTAAACACAAGACTCCTAGAACAGGGAAAGGAGGTAGTAGATGCTAGTATTTTTTAAAGTCCTCCACCCATTTGTTTATTTGAGACAGAATGTCACCTTGAGTATACAGAGATTTCCAGCTTCCAGAGTGCTGGGATTTTAGGCGTGTGCCAGCACACCTGGCTTCTTCCTCCATTCTTAAACTGACTGATAATTTCTCCATTGTCCCATTAGCTTACATTGAACATCTTCTTGCTTTTAGTTGAATTTATGCTTGTGGCACATTATGCTGTTATGTTAATTACATCAAAATAAGTTTTATCCATAGGAAAGTTATGAACTAAATAGTGGGTGGAAGGGTGTTAATTTGTTTGTGAGGATGGTGGTTGTGGTTGTTTTGGTTTCTTTTTTTTTTTTATTCCCTTTTTTAAAAATTTTTTTTATACATTTATTTGTGTGTGTGTGTGTGTGGCCAGCTCGGCCCACCTGGGGACGGGGCTGGCTGGCATGTGGTGCTGGGGGATTGAACCGCGGTCCCTGTGCTTTGCCAAGCTTGTTCCAAGTAGGTGCTTTAGACCACTGAGCCATCTCTCCAGCCCTGTTTTGGTTTCTTTTGTTTTGCTTTTTTTTTTTGTCTTTTTGAGATTGGGTCTTGCTGTGCAGTTTAGGCTGGCCTTAAGCTCAGTTTGTTAACAGGCTGGTTTTGAATTGGCTGAGATCCTTCTGCCTCTCAGCACTCTTGAGTGCAGGGATTACAGGCATGCTCCACCACACCAGTGTTGTTGTTTCGAGACAAGACGTTGCCATGTTTAGGCTGGCCTCCAACTCATTCCAGTGTAGGCTGGTCTGAACCTCAAGGTGATCCTCCTATGTGAGCCTTTCCCAAGTGCTAAGATTACAAGCATGCACTACCAATTGGTAGTGAATATTGCTAGGCCTCAAGAGAAGAGTTAAACTCATAGTATGATTCCCCTCCTCTGGTGGGAATCTTTGTGTACATATAGATCTCAAAATACTAGCCTTTTTATACTCCTGTTACTAGTTGTGGTTAGGATTTTAAATGCAGAAGAATATTTGACCTTTCTACTAATAGCCTTACTTTTATTTCAAGAAAGTTACACTTTTTTTTTTTTTTTTTTTTTTTTTTTTTGGCAGAACCAGTCATTGAACTTAGGCCCCTGTGCTTGCCAAGCAAGCGAAGAAAATTATACTTTAAAGAAAATTATCTTGGCAATGCTTTTAAATGGCAGTAAATAAAGTTATGATCAAGGGTACATAAATGTTTCCAGGAAAATTATGTGAATCTTTAAAATAGTGCCTTTGTTGAGTTCTTTTTCATACTCTCTTAATAGGTAGACAGATTGTTGGCTAGAGTCAGTTGTAATCTGTAGTCAAGGTAACAGAAATGCTCTGAAGAATTTAGAAGATTGCAAAATAATTCAGTTTTCTAATACTGATCATTTAGTATGTCATTTTACAAAATTATGTTTAAGCTACAAGTTCGTATTAGTGTTGTGTTTGTAGCATCCTATAGCAATAGTTGAATTGGGTATCACATAGTGTGTTTTATATAATTATTTTACTTTTTAATGTACTTAGCCCAAAGCAGTGACCACACCAGCACCAGCTACAACGCAGCAATCGAGCCCTGCCAGCACCACCGCTGTTAGTTCCTCCACAGCAACAGCTGTGGCTCAGGCACCAACCCCTGCCCCTGCTTTGGCTCCCACAACCACACCTGCATCCATCACTCCAGCAGTGACAACGGCATCTTCTGAACCTGTGCCTGCTAGTGCAGCTCAGCAGGAGAAGCCTGCAGAAAAGCCAGCAGAGACACCACCAGCTAGCAGCCCTACATCAACTGACAAGTAAGAGCTGGATTTGGGGGCGCCTCATCTCTGAATAGGTGTACAACAAGAATGTGTGCATGTACTTTTTTGAAGTTAGTACATGTTTGCAGTACATAGTGCTCATGGGGCTTCTCTGTATGTACCTGTCTTAATTCCTTTTTTTGTTCCCTTCTCTTCCCTATTTGTAATAATTCCATCTCCATGGGTTTATTTCTTTACCTTTTTCCTTCCCCCCAATCACTTCTCCTCACTTGAAAAGTTGTTTCTACTTCCCAGAGCCTTCCATTTTGCTCCTTATTTATACTTTGTGTTTCCCACACAGGAGAAACAATGTGGTATTTAAAACTTGTGTGTCTGACTCCACTTAAGGTGGTTGTCTTAGGCATTAACCTAAAAATGCCTCAGGTTTATCCCGCTTTATGACAGAGTAGTACTCCATTGTATATGAATGCCACATTTTCTTTGTCCACTTATCTGTTGGTGACTATATGGACTCTCAAGATTTAGCTATCATAAATTGTGCTGCTATAAACATGAGCATGTATATATCACTGGTTTGATGATTTTAACTTTCAGTAAGATACTGTGTGTATTAATTTTTAATATTGTGTTAAAACTGACCCGTCTGCTAACGTTTTTCTAAACTTTGAACTCTGACTAAACTATATCCTCACCTATTTTGATGGTTTACTATTGGTAATATACATATTCCTATCCATAATCCAGATTTTACCACTCTATTGATTTTTTTTTAAATGAAGGAGAATTATTTATTTTGAGTAGAAATGTTAGAAAATACATTTGAGCAGAAAGAACAAGAATTATAACATTGCTACCGCATCATTTTTTGTATTTGCCTTATTTTTCTGGTTATTGTGGGTATCATAAACACACTTCTGCATCAATAAATATTTCCACTTGCTGAATAGCACTGTTTGGTTCCGATATTTGTTAGTTCTCATGACTTAAAGAAGTAATTGACACCTTTGAATTTTCTCCTCATTTATAAATTGTGCGTAACAACGAGGACCTATCTCATAGTTATTGTCAGGGCAAAATAATTTGTACAGTAACACATGATTTTGCACACTAGCTGCTGAGAACCAGCAGTTACGATACTTTATCTGATATCTTTTGTTGAACCTGTGGATTGTTAGAAGTTTTTATTCTTACATCTGTACTTTTGTTGGCCTATATAGAAGCTAACCTGTCTGTGGAGATCTTGTTTTGATTTTGAGACAGGGTCTCCCTGTACTTCAAGCTGACCTTGAACTCGCTATACAGTCCAGGCTGGCTTTGAACTGGCAGTCTTCCTGCCTCACCCTCAGGAGTGTTGGAATTACAGGTGTACATCACCAGGCCCCACTGTCTCTGTCTCTGGAGGTGTATAGGGAAAAAAAAAAAAGGAAATGTAGAGATATTTCAAGAAAGAAATAATTCATTGTGGGAAGTTTATAGTTAGATTATTAAGCAGCTTATAGCAATGATTTCTTCTGTTCCTTATTCTCTTTTTGGGCAGGGGTCATCCTTAAATGATACACAGCTAGTGCTTTAATCAAGCTTGTCAAGGCTGGAAAGCCAGGCTTTACCTAGGAGCATGCATTGTATTTATGGTCTGCTTTCACTAGTATTCCGACTTCATTTTATGATTTAGTTTGACTCAGCACCTTGGTGGCAATATTAAATGGACTTGGAATCAACCAGACACAATGGAAAACAGTTGCTGGAAGTATTTGCTGACATGGAAAGTGTTATGATACATACAGCAATGATTAGAATATATAGTTGTGTACTTTCATGGATGGGGAGTATAAGATGTCCAGTGGGTGCATGAAACCAGAGTACTGAGGCCTACCTACTGTATTGTTTCCTACACATATATGTGTTTGAAGATGGCATTTAATTTTTAAATTAGACATAATAAGAGATTAATGACAATAATACACTATATGATAATATACTGTAATGATTTTTTTTTTTTTTTTTTTTTTTTTGTGGTGCTGGGGATCGAACTCAAGACCCTGCTTATTCTACTGAGCTATCTCCCCAGCCCCCTGTAATGAAATTTATATGTGAACATAATTTCTCAGACTGTCTCATAGTACTGTAGGCTTTGGCAACCTGTGCTTCTGAATTTTTTTTTTCTCCCACTCTACTGAAAAAGAGCTTTTGCCTTATCAATTAAAGGAAGTACTTTACAGCTTCCCTGTAGTATATTACATTTGCCAGTATTACTATCCTTGCACTTTGGGGCTATTAAATAACAGAACTAGAACACAAGCACTGTGATACCTTGAGAGTTGCTCTGATATCAGAGAGTGAGTTAATAGCCAGGTAGCATATATAACATGGGTGTCTTGGACAAAACATGGCTTATACCCAGGTGGGACAGCTTAAGGCCAGTGCAAAATTTTGTTGTCCCACTCAGTATTGTACGTACTTAAACTATTTTGCCCTAGAGTGTGATTTCTGTGTCTAACCTAGTAACCTATGTTTACAGGGCACTGAATCACCTGGTTCATTGCTGGAAAGATAGCACAGGCTCAGGGAATATGTTTTCCCCATGCTTGTCTAAAACACTTTGTTTCCGGCATTCTGTGACACCACTGCCTAACTTGAGCCCACTTCCTGTACAGCTAGAAATGCAGTTTTCCTTACCTAACAGAGCCAGGCTAAGCTGTTTCATTAAAGGCTAACGAATTAGTTCCCCCGTGTCATTTAAATACTACAAACTTAATAAAATATCTTGAGTCAGTATAGTATGTCTTATGTTCCAAATGCTGTAAGCTTCTTAAACTAGTGTGAGTTTTGTAATTGATCAGTATGTCTTGTATGCTGATAACAATTTAATTGTACTATTTTCACTGTTCTTTGTTCCCAGGAACATAATTTATCTATTCTAGAGTCAGGATTACCTAGCCAGGCATGGTGGTGGATGTCTGTAATCCCAGCACTGGGAAGCTGAGGCAGGAAGATTGGTGCAAATTCAAAACCAGCCTGGGCTACAAAGCAAGCTCAAGACCAGCCTGAACTGGGTAGCCAGATCCTGTCTCACAAAGACTAAAAAAAGAGTCAGGATTACCTTTTCATATCGGCAGATGGCTGCATAAAAGAGTTGCTAGTCCGTGATCCGGGAAACATACACTAGAGACCCTTACTTGGTTGGCCTTTGTACACCAACTGCTTATGCTTATTTCTTAAAAGCATATATCCTTAGGGAAGGGTAATACAGGAAAGATGAGATAAACTTTAACCAACCTTCATGTATGCTATTAAATGCAAAAAACAATTTTTATGAGATATCCTGATATAAGTTTATGGAATATTAAGAAATTTGTTGTATGTTAGGGAGATCTGATTTGGTTCATATGGCTGACTAGGTAGATATCTCCTTCCCTCACCGCTTGGTCAGAGAGGAGGACCACTCCCAATAGAGGAGGGTTTCCTTGGTCAAGGCTATTTGAGTAGCTGTGTTCTGTTAGAACTGCCAAACAAGTTTGCAAAAAGTTTGTCCATCACTGCTGGCCTGGCATTTTATTATTAAGGCTAATTAAGGCTATTGTTGGTCAGTTTTGCTCGTTAAAATTGGGCCGGCCAAATAGCTCAGTGGATTAAAGCGCCTGCTTAGGCAGAGCACAGCGGCCAGGGTTTGATCCCCAGTGTGCCATACTGGCCAAGCCTCTGGGGCATGCTGAGACAGCGATTGAGACTGGATGTGGTGGCGCACACCTGTAATCCCAGCTCTTGGGAGGCTGAAAACAGGAGAATCACTCCAAGTCCCATCTACATAGTGAGACCTTGTAGACCCTTACTAAAATAAAAAAATAAAATAAAATCACATATTACAGTGCAGATTCTACTTCATGTCTACCTTAGAGAAACTATAGTGCATGAGAACTGCATTGTTTATATGATGAGTAAGGGAAGGATTTGACCTGTGGTTTATTCACAAGTAGACAACAGTACTACTCAGTGTGGCAGTCTGTAGGCAGCTTTAATATTTCTAGTAGTTAGTTTGAAATGAATTGTTGCGTCCCACCCCAAACTTAAATCAGAATTACCTAGGGTAAATGACAAAAATCTATGATTTAATAAGCTGAAGTTGGAGAAAGTGTTATGTCTTAGTTACTCTCTTACCGCTGAGACACAGTGCCCAGCACCTAAAACTTAAGGGCGGAAAGGTTTATTTTGGCTCAGTTTACAGAGGTTCCAGTCTATAGTTTTCTATCTGTAAGGAAAGCTGGCATGGCAGAGGAGAAACAGCTCATGCCATACTGGCAGGAAGCAAAGAGCCAGGTCCGGGGGGGGGTGGGGGATAGACCCTTCCAGGCCACACCCCAGTGACACACCTCTGACCAGGCTTCACCTCCCCACAGCACAGGTCATTAGGACCGTGGATATCATGCCACCGTGATGCAGTCATCTCGCAGGGCCTCACCTGTGAGCACATGAGGCTTTGGGGGACAGTGAGACAGACTTACACTTGGCCACTGGCACTACAGAGCAGTCAAAGACTGTACTATATTGAAGGCTTTTTTGAGTATAAAAGAGGTTAAAAAGCAATATAGGCAATAACTAGGTAAAAGAAAAACGTTACAAAACATATTTTCCATGGATATGCCTATTAATGTGTAGGAAAAAGTAAGGTCTAGTTCACATTATTTGATTGTATTTTCTCTGGTTGGGGAGGGGAGACTTGCTGGGGCTGAATGAAATTTGAAGAATGCAAATTATTCTGAAGGTTAGTAGTACTAGATAAAAAGATATATTTTAGATGGCAATAATTAAAACAGTTTGGAGCCAGGGGTAGTGGTGCACACCTATTATCCCAGCACTTGGGAAGCTAAAGCAGTAGGCGTTGAGAGTTTGAGACCAGCCTGGGCTACAAAGAAAGCTCAAGGCCAGCCTGAACTGCATAGCAAGAGCCTGTCTCAAATAACAGTTTAGAATGGCTCACCCTAGAAAGTTTGCTGAGTGAACTAGGCAGTAGTCTAGAAATAGAACCTAAAAGCAACTTTAAAAAGATGTAATTTCAGACAGTTAAGAAAATGCTCTTGAGATGACTGCCTTACCATCTGGAGGGGGAAAGATAGATCCTTTGTATTGTTAATGCATAAAAATATGATAGATAGATAACATCTAGATAGATAAAGGTTTAATGTGAAAGATAAAGGGGTGGGGCAAATAGCTCAGCAGTCTAAATGCCTGCCTGGCAAGCGCAAGGACTGAGTTTGATCCCCGGTACTACATGCTGTACCGGCCCAGAACCCTAGGCATAGTAGTGCATGCCTGTAATCCTAGCACTAGGGAGGCTAAGACCAGAGGATCACTGTGAGTCTAGGCTGTGTAGTGAGACCTTGTACCAAATAAATAAAGATTTAAAGAAAATCTTTAATGTGTGTGTGAGAAAGATGAAGCAATAGACTAATGAAGAACAAGGGAAAAGAAGAACAAAAGTTACAAACCAGACTATACATTCCTTAATGAGACCATTAAATGGTATGCTGTGCATTTCTTGGGAAAAATGAGCACAAGGAGGTTGTGGTAACATGGAATAATTGTTAAGTTTTAAAAGCACAAAAATGGAGAGGGAGAAGGAAAGTAAAAAGAATTGAGATGTGTTAGAAACATGTGCTAATAAAAATAGTTCTTTAATTAAGATAACCACACATGGGGCTAGCAAGATAGATAGCTCAGAGGCATAAACACCTGCTGGCAAGTGCAGGGACCTGAGTTAAATCACCAACCCCACATGCCTGTGCCACTGGCCCTGGAATGGGGTGTGGTGTCGCATGCACTCAGGAGGTTGAGACAGGAGCATCACTGCCAAGTTTAAGACCAACCTGGGTGCCATAAAATGAGTATAAGATCAGTCTGAACTGTATAGTGAGAACCTGTCTCAAATAACCACTTGAAAGGAGGACATTAGACATTCATTCTTTTTTTGTTTTGTTTTGTTTTTTCTTTTTTTTTTTTTTTCAGACTGCCTCTGAACTCACATTGTAGCCTGGACTGGCCTCAGACTCACAGCAGGCCTCTTGGCTCAGCCTCCCTGGTGCTGAGGTTATAGACGTACCACTATGCCCGGCTACTAGCCATTCTTTGAAACTGATACCTCAGTGATTGTCTCTGGAATAGGGGTCTTGGGCCAAAAGATTATTTGGCTTTTTTTAAAAAATGTATTTGGTACAGGGTCTCACCATGCAGCTCCAACTTACAGTGATCCTCCTGCTTTCAGCCTCCCCGGGGCTGGGATTATTGGCATGCTCCACTACACCCAGTTTCAGCAGCCTGCTCAACACCCACAGGGGTGGGGCCAGTGCAACACTGTGGTGCCTGGGATCAAGCCCAGTCCCTGCGTTTGCCTAAGCAGGTGCTTACCTTTATACATACTATTTGAAATTACTTTCTCCACATTATTTTAATGTCTAGTTAGTGAAGACACTTAAAATATGTCAGGATTATTTTAATCATAATAATTATTGGGTTATCATGCCAGATACTTTCCTGAGCATCTTACTAGTAGTAAGTAAATCCTATCCCAAGTACTTTGGAGTATGTATTGTTGTTGACCTTGTGGAATTGATCAAGAAATTAAGGCTTACAAAGTTTGAATTCAGGGCTGGAGATCAGTTAGTGGCACAGGTGCTGAATTTGATTCCCAATACCAGAAAAAAAATTTGAAAAGGTTGAGTTCAAATGTGGATTCACTAGTTCTTGCTGTACTATAGAGTGTTTCCTCAAAACTGAAATATAATGTGGACCCCTACTTTACTATTACATATTAAATTTACAAAGTACTGGGTTTTCTTGCATATGTTTTGTTTATGCTCATCCTCCCACTATCATCTCAATATTCTCCCTATATTGAGTTTTGTTGTAACTATTTTAAAGAATGGTAGTACACACCTCTTAATTCCAGTACTTGGGAAGCTGAGGCCGAAGGAAGTTGGGAAATTTGAGGCCAGAGTGAGTTGTATAGCAAGACCTTCTCTCAAAAAGCAGTAACAGAAAAAAAAAATTAATTGGCATGAGGGTATATGTATGGAGCATGTGTGTACACATGTGAGTTTCTCTTTGGCCATTTATTTAAGGTATTTCCAAGTAATAACTATTTGATATTCTAAACTTACCTGAGATTCCCCAAGAGTAACTTGGTTCCCCCCCCCCCCGCCTCCTTAGTACTGGTGATTTGAACTCAGTTCCTTGTACTTGCCAGGCAGGTGCTGTGCCCCTGAGCTATAGTCCCATCCCGAGTGTTGGATTTCTCCCCTATCTGCCTTTTTTGCATCTGCTGTATTCCTTGTCTTGAATCCCTTCTTTCAGTTTAACTGTTGAAATTTACCTATAAAACCTTGCTTTGTAAAGACTTGTAGTCAAATTTGGCTTCTGTGTACATGCTATTCAGTGATACATTGATTTTGGTGTTTTTACTGTGACTTGATTTATCCAGTATTTTAATTGTGCATTATCTTTCTCATATTTCTTAAATAAACTTGGTAGACATTACTTTTAAAATGATGATTCTCAGAAAAGAAGCAGTATTAAGACTGAAAATGTATCCTAAGCCGTAAATGTTATATGTAATGCTAAATACAGTAGCCAGACTCTGTGTAAAGGCAAAGTTTTTGTGAGTTGGATAGTTATAAAACTAATACACATTAAATTTTGCATGCTTTTTGAAATTGCTTTTTCTGTAAAACTTTTCCAGTACATCAGGAGATTCTTCTCGGTCAAACCTTTTTGAAGATGCAACAAGTGCACTTGGTACGTATGTTCTTTATCTTGCATATAACCTACTAAAAGAGGAAAGAAGGCTACATTTAACTTTCCAGATCACAATAATTTGTTCTTATTCATGGTTACTTATAATTGAGCTGTATAATGACTTAGTGACTATGATCTATATATATATATATATGTATATACACACACACATATATATATACACACATATATGTAAATGTGATCTCAAGGTTTCATCTATATGTAGGTGTATGATGAAATGTCTTCGAAATGGTATGTGATTTCTGTCCATCTTCCTCACACTTCATAGATTGCCAATTTGACCACCAGACAAATTAACATCTACATTTTGTTACTTGTATTGGCTAATAGAAAAAATGCTTTCTTAGCCCAACTTCTAACTTACTAGCCAAATAAAGCCTTACCTTATTCCTTCACCCTGGTGGGTCAGAATTAGCTTTTTCCTTTCTGACTGGTGTAGTTGTGCAGATTTTTAATTTATTGGCTGGCAGTGCTATTTCTGTTCTTTGGCTCAGCAGATAGAAGGCTGGGGAAAGGTGGGCTCAGCAGTTTTAAGTATGGGCTCCTGCAGCAGCACGGGTTAGTACACCATTCAGTAGTTCTCTCAAAGGATTTGGAGGTTGGTTCTCTGACCCAGCTGGGTGCCCTAAATTTATTAAGCTTTTTGGGGGGTGATATTTTTTGGTTTTGGGGGCCTTGTGTTTGCCACATAGGCAGTATGCCCGCTGAGCTACATTCCTGGCTGGAGTATGTTATATAGTGTCAACATAATTTACGCAATCTAAGATGACCCAGGAACATCAAAATCAGATTTTCATCTTGTAGGAATTAACTGAGATTCCTCTACTTCCAAGTGACCGTATCAGCACCTAGTCAGAAAGATAGAAGTTGCTGTACTTGAAACACAAAATGGCTTACCTTTAGACTTTTAGTTACAAAGGTATTGAAAGGGCTGAGAAAGAGGGTTACTTGGAGAACGGTCAACTGTTCTGTAGCCTCAGAGCTGGAGCCAGCTGGCACTTACATTAATGCTGCGAAAGTCTGCCCGACACTACTGCTGCTACACCTAAGCCTGTGGTAGTGATGTCTTTTACATCTTTCTGTCTCTTAGAGTACCTCTTGTCAACTTTGTGGTACAAAGATTCCTTTGTTCTTCCTTTTTTTTTTTTTTTTTTTTTTTTTTTTTTTGAAACAGGGTTTCACTGTGCAGTTCAAACCAACCTTGAACTCACTTTGTAGCTGTAGCGCAGGCTGGCTGAATGCAGCAATCCTCCTGCCTTGCCTCCTAAGTGCTAGAATTATAGGTGTGTGCCACCACACCCAGCTCTCTCTCTTTTATTGTTTGTTTGTTTGTTTGTTTGTTTGTTTTGTACTGGTAATCGAACTAAGGACCTTATGCTTGCCCAGCTGGTGCTGTGCCACTGAGTCATATCCCCAACTCTATAATCTTTTATTTACCTGTTCTCTGTGTTGATTCTAGCCTCTTTCAACTTTTTTTTGTATTTTAGGGAAGAATCTTTAGGGTGTTTAGGGTCTCACTACTAGATCCAACTCGCAGTGATCTGCCTGTTTACAGCCTCTCAAGTGCTTGGATTATAGGCACATGCCACCATGCCCAGTCTATCTGCATTGTTTCTTACACACAATGCTACTGCACACTTAACAGGTTTGAGTGCGGTGTGAATAGGACTTGCATATGCACTGAGAAGCCAAGGAATCTGTGGCTTGTATTGGTGCAGCATTTGCTTTAATGCAGCAGTCTGGAATTGAACCCGCATCATCCCTGCTTTTACTATGGACCTGGATGTCAATGAACCGCTTTGTTTTACTTTTCAACTTTCAACTTCTGAATCCTCTCTTCCTAACGTATACCTCAGACCATTCTTTTCTAGTTAATTCTGTTTTACCTCACATCAGTGGTTCTGCTGTAGGCCATAGTTGAAAGTTTAAATTTCGGGAATGGCCAGTACTGTCCATTTACCCTATGGGTTTGGAAGTCATAAGCTTTGTGGTTGGCAGTTTAAACACCTAAGTCACAGCTCCCAACACTGACCCGAAATCCTGCAACTTCCACAAACATCTTAGATTTCAGATTGACTCTGCTTTCTGTTCCCCATCTGATTTTTCTTTATTCCCTTACTTGCTTTTGCACCATCATCCTCCCTTGACCTAGACATTAGTGTTATCCTTGGCTCTCTGCCTTCCATGGCCTAGTGAGTCTGATTGATTCTTTCCTAAAGTCTCTAGAATATTTGTTTTCATTGCCATTCAGTTACCTTAGTTTAGGTCTTTCCCTTAACTTTTGTGTTATCCTCTACCATCTGGTCTTTTCCTGCCAGAGTGGAATTTGTAAAAGGCAGATCTGATGGGCTCATTGTTACTTCAGTTGAGTCCAGAACACTTTCTTAAAAGATTCTTCCCTTCCATTTCAGCTTTATTATTAGCTCTGTCTCTTGTCTGTTCTCCCAAGTTTTCCTACAGGTCATTTGTCCTTGTACTTTAAAGATTTAAAAAGTATGAGTGCTTATTGACATTTCATGTTTTTGTAATTTGATTAATTAGGAAACAATTTTAGGAAGCATGGAGATTTGGGTGTGCTCTCTGATAGCCTGTGTTTATCTATGCCAGGATTTATTAATCTGATATCTTGTTCATATTACTAATCTCTAGCCTCACCCCCATATAGTTATAAGAAGAAAATAAAACTTGTTCAGATGGCTACTGTGAAAGCTAAATCAGATATGCCATGTTAAAATAGTATAGGTTTTGTCTTCTATAGCTCTCAGTTCTGTTTGCATTGATGACTGTTTCTCTTATCTGCGAACTAGGTGATTTGAGTGGCTTTGTGGTTGAACTAAATCAGTGGATACTAAAAAGTTTTTAAAAATTATGAAGTGATGTATGGGAGTGGGAAACGAAAGGTCATGTGTTAGCTTTTTGCTGTTATTATAATGAAATGTCTGAGGCTGGGTACGTTTTAAAGAGGCTTATTTAGTATAATTGTGGAGTTCCAAGGTCATGGCAGTGGTATCTGCTTGGCTGTGCTCCTGAAGGCCTCTTGAGGGAGGGGATCACAATGACAGAAGCGTGTACGAGGGGGAGAGCCCACATGATGACATAACTCTTTAGATAATTAACTCAAGGTGCCACAACAATTATCATAGTCGCTTCTCAGGCAGTGCCCCCCTGTGACCCAAGCATCTCACAACAGGTGCCACCTATTTTTGTTTTCTAGTATTTCTTTGTATTTTTTGGTTTTTTTAAAGAACCTTGACAACTGATTCAAAAATTGATGTGAGCAAATATCCAAGAGCACTACACAGCTGAAGAAAAAGATACAGCTGCCTACAGTGACAAGTATAATTATCATAAACAGGATCAAACTAAAAAGCGTCAGCGACAGATGCACACTTTATAAACACACAGAGAGCTGGGGAGATAGCTCAGAAGCATAAACACCTGCCTGGCAAGCACAAGGTCCCAAGATCAATCCCCAGTACAAAATAATAATAATAATAATAATAATAATAATAATAATAAGAAGAAGAAGAAGAAGAAGAAGAAGAAGAAGAAGAAGAAGAAGAAGAAAGCACAGCTAAGTCATACATGATTAAAATGTATGAGAACAGAAGTAAAGACCAGGCAGGCCTCACTTCTTACAGTTCTACCAGCTCTCATGTCACCACACTGGCCACCAAGTCTCTCATACTTGACCCTTTGAGAGATATTTCAATATTTCAGCTTTTAAATATCTCTGTTTTAGGGGCTGGTGAGATGGCTCAGTGGTCTAAAGCACCTACTTAGAACAAGCTTAGCAAAAAAGCACAGGGACCACGGTTCAATCCCCCAGCACCACATGCCAGTCAGTCCCGCCCCCTGGTGGGCTGAGCTGGCCACACACACACACACACTCACACAACTAAATAAATAAATAAAATTAAAAAAAAAATAAAACATTTTAAAAAAAATCTCTGTTTTTGAAAAGGGGAGGGGGATTTATTGAATAGATAGTGAAACAACACAAAATGGCATGGTTTCCTGCACAGCTCAACCTGCGTTCAAATGGGGGAAGGAAAAATAGACTTAAAATAAATTGCAAATTACGATAAATGATACTGAGAAAACCTGAGAACTTCATAAAGAAAGATGGACTGCCTAACAGGGTGAGGCAATCAATACCTTTCTGATACCGTAGCTTTTAAATTTAGAAGAACCTGAACATCTGGAGGGACCTGTGCAAGAAAAGGTGTGACTTGTTGAGTAGCCCCGAGTGTGATGGAGGAGGTGCATAGGGAGCTTCAGATGAGGTGAGGCTTTCCTGCTTAGAGCTCGCTTTTCAGCTGGTTGCAGGTGGGGCACAGTAGTAATGAGGGATTGCTGTGGGCTGCTCTTGAGAGGTAGCTGTGGATGCAGGAGCTAGATGGGTGTAAGATCGAATTTAGAGGTGAGACCTACCAGAATTGGATGTAGAAGGATGGGAAAAGAAATTGAAATTAAAGATGCTGTTTACTGAAGGGAGAAGATAGACAACAAGAAGAACATTTGAGGACAAATCTGTTGAGTGAGTGGAGTGTGGGAAAGCAGGCACAGTGTATATGGAAAGTTGTAGCTGTGGAGGGAAGAGTAGACAAACAGACCAGTTCCTGAAAGATAGAGACCTTTCCTTTTCTGATTTTTGGGGATGGTTTTGTATTTTGAGATGAACTCCTACTAAGTTTCCCAGGCTAGTTGCAAACTCCTGGACTTAGGTATATTGAGATTATAGGTGTGAACCATCAAGCCTGGCTTTCAGTTGTGCCTATGAAACATGCACAATTCTGTTGTTACTACTATTAAATGACCATAAAAACCCAGGCATAGTGATTGACTCATGCCTATAATCTCAGTACTCAGGAGCCTGAGGCAGGATTACTGCAAGTTCAAGGCCAGCCCGGCTACCTAGTAAGATCCTGTCTCAATAAAACAACCACTCTCCCCTTCAAAAAAAAAAGTAAAAAATGCAACTTAACACAAACTTAATAGTGTAAAACAATAGACTCACTCTCTTAAGGTATTGTAGGTTGGAAGTCTGATGGAGGGCTCACTGGCTAATGAAAGGCTCAGCAGAACTGTGTTCTTTCTGGAAACTCAGAGAGAATCCATTTCTTGAGGCTTCCCACATAGCATGACTCTTGACCCATTTCTCCCTCAAAGACAGCATCATGGCTTCCCTGATTGTGCTTTTGTCCTCTTGTCCTGACACACTCATCTGCTTCCATTCCCCCCGCCCCCCCAACCGGGGATTGAATTTAGGACCCTGCGCCTGCCAGGCAAGTGCTTATTCTACTGAGCTAGCTCCCCGGGCCCCTATTCGATTTTTAAGGACTCTTGATCTACTCTGAAAGTCCAGGATGAGTTTCCTGTCTGAAAATCAACTGATTAGTAACCTTACTTTCATTTATACAGCTTCACTTCCCCTTTGCTATATAATCTATATAGGCTTTAGGACTAGGACATGGACATTTTGGGGGTACCATTCTGCCTTCTGCATGCATATTGTAACTTAGAGTATTAGCTGTTTTTATAACAGCATTGAAACATAGACTTATATTTTGATAAAGAAATGTATAGAGAATGTTTATTAAAAGTTCTATCCTTTCTCTTCCCATGTTTTTAGTGACAGGTCAGTCTTACGAGAATATGGTAACTGAAATCATGTCTATGGGCTATGAACGAGAGCAAGTAATTGCGGCCCTGAGAGCCAGTTTCAACAACCCTGACAGAGCAGTGGAATATCTTTTAATGGTGAGAAACCTGTTTTTCTTTTCCTTCTATTTAAGATCAAAATCTCAGACATTTTAAAGGAAGAGTATGCTAGGTAATTTACATGTGCTTTTATATTTGTTAGAATGTTAACATTTTGTGTTAATAAAATACCTTTCTGCAAGATTCTGCAATGATTTTAGCTTGAAAATAGGACTTAAATAAGTTACAAAATATACTATTGGGTTGGAACATTGCCTTCCACTCCAGTTGTGTGTTTGGGGACATGCTTTTAATCTGAGAGCCCAATATTTTAGCAGTGTTTTTAGCTGCACTGTCATCTGGGAGCTCAACAAATTTTATTTATTTGTACTATATAAATATTTGTAATTATTACCTTCACCGAACTGGGAGAGTTCATATAAGAATTTTAATTTTTGGCTTCATTTGGACAGTGTTGATTCCAGATTTTCCTGAGCAGTTGGGGAAAAGATTTGGGCCGTGAACTCTTAATTCATTAGTTTCCCATTCACTGGTGAGCCATTGACAGGCTTTAGACTTATTTTTGGTATTGAGGATTGACCCTAGGGCCTTGAGCATGCTAGTCAAGTATCCTACCCTTAAGCTATGTCTCCAGACCTTTTTAAAATGTTATTTTGAGGCAGTCTCAGTAAATTTCCCAGCCTGGCCTTAGACATGCCTGCGTCTGCCTCAGACTCTGGAGTTACTGGGATTACACATGTGTGCCATCATGCCTCACTGTATTAGTACATCTTATGTGTGCTATTCTTTGCCCCATTCTGTTGACCTTTGGATTTGTTAGCTTGTTGGCAGTCAGTAGCAGTTGAGAAACTTGAATAACTGGAGGGGGTGGAATAAAGGTTTCTGAGAAATAAGTTGTGGACATTGAAGCTCTCAGTACTGTATTAATGCAAAAGTCTGCCAGTTGTATAGATGAGCTTATAGTCTGAAGTACCATAATACTGGAATAATGCTGTATTAACCCTTTCTAGTCTTAATTTTTTTGAACCAAGGATTGAACTCAGACCCTTGCACTTGCCAAGGAAACGCTTATTCCACTGAGCCATCTACCCGACCCCTTAAAATTTTTTGTTCTGTAATTGTCTTTGGTATTTCTGAAATACTGATCTAAGTCTGAATTGCTCCAAAGATAATCATAGATGGCCATGATCCTAACTCTTCAGAAAATATTGTATAGTGAAACATAACTCATTCCTTTATCATTTCTGTTAAAACTCATTTTCATCAGTCACTGCTTCAGGAGACCCTCATTCATGGCTACGGTACTGTGCCTTGCTCCACCAGTTACTTCCCTGTGCATTCGTATGTGAGGTTCATTCGCAAAACCTTTTTTTGCCATGTACATTAGAACTGACTTCTCCATTATCCTCTTTTATTGTCTTTAAATTCTGTCAGCTGGTTTGTATATCTTTTTTTTTTTTTTTTTCCTTTGGGGATTAAACTTGGTACCTTGCTCTTGCCAGGCAGGCGCCAGTGCCCCTGAGCTGTATTCCCAGCGCTGTGTATCTTTTTGGAATTGAGAAATCTGTGGGTTGGTAGTTGTGGATCACTTAGGGGGGACTTTCTAGCTGCAGAGTCCAAACAGCTTTAACTTATACCTAATTAGAATTCTGTAGGGCCGGCCAAATAGCTCAGTGGATTAAAGTGCCTGCTTAGGCAGATGCAGGGGGCCAGGGCGGGGGTTTGATCCCTGGCCAGCGTGCGCCTGTAATCCCAGCTCTTTGGGAGGCTGAACACAGGCACATCATTATGGGTCTGTTCTACGAAGTAAGGCTCTATAGACCTTTACTACCAAAAAAAAAAAAAAAAGTATTCTTTGTATTATTAGATATTCTCATCTAATATATATGGGTTTGTTTTGTTTTGTTTTGTTTTGTTTTGTTTTGTTTTGTTTTGACGGGTCTCACTATGTAGTCCCAGCTGGCCTTGAACTCACTATGTAGCATAGGCTGACCTCAAATTCAAAGCAGTTCTCCTGCTTCAGCCTCCAGAGTGTGGGACTTAGACATATGTGCCACCATACCCAGCCAGTGTGTGAAATTTTAAGAAATGAAAGATTCACTTTTTCCAAAGTTCAATTTTAAGCTGGTATGTAGCATCAAATGTAATTGTATAAACAGATAAAAGATGAGTTCAGGAAAAGTTTAAATTGTATTTTTATTATTACTCTTACTAATTAACATACAAGTGAAGGTGAATAGGTGGAAAGATGTATTAGTCATTTATACTTGATAAAAGGCTGTGTTCTATGTGTGAGAATTAGAGGTAGGTCTATGGTGGTGCTGACGGACTTTTCAGTTGAACAAACTTGTGGGACAATTTGAGGGAAGCCCTGACCCTTAAATCTGTAGATAGCTTGTTAGCACTTTGTGACTTCTTAGCCTAGGATCGAATAGGTGATCTCTCTTAATTAAACACTTGTTAGCCGTGCCTGCAGTGGCTTCTAATACAAGTAGCTGCATTCTTCATTCGTTATGCTTATGAGTTTTGGTTTGTGGTTTATTAGAAAATGGAAGAATTAGCCATGTTTTATTCAGTTATAATATTTCATTCTTTCAGGATGTAGAAATTTGATAAAGACTGTGTGTGGTACTAGGAATTGAACTCAGGGACTTGTGCATACTAGTCGAGTACTATTATCATTGAGCTATATCCCAGCCCTAAGATGTTTTAATAGTTGTAGCTACAAACTATAAATCATGTGTATCAAATTTGAGGGTTCCTGAAAATCTTAATGGGGTTTCAGGCTATGATAACTTTAGAAGATAAATGCACATGAAAAAAATCACCTCGAAGTTAAGTACTTCAGTTTCCATTGTGTGAATTAAAAATTTCATTGTAATTGTTTTTTAATCAGTTTTGATAAATAACGAGAGTTTCAAAACAGGTTAGTAGGACAGTTACAATAATTAGTACAGTGCGTATTGCTGGCTTCATAGTTCATTTTAATTGTTTTTTTGCTTGTTTTTTTGTGGCGGAACTGGGGATTGAACTCTGGCCCTTGCGCTTGCCAGGCAAGTGCTTATTCCACTGAACCATCTCCCTGTCCCTCATTTTAATTGTTAAGTGTGGATCACACTTTCACAGAACCATGATTAGTAGAGTCTTCCTACTTGGCCTTTGTAATACCTTTATCTGTTCATTTTTTTTCAGTAATCATTTCGGAACTGCCATCTTTTTTTTTTTTTTTTTTTTTTTTTCTGATTTTAAGGTTAGGGTAACCAGAAATAGCTCTTTGTATCACAGAACAGTAGTTATGAATGTTTCCTAAGAAGTTAAAAAAAACATGTAATGCAAAGCTTTGGTTTAATTTTAATGAGAGATGTATTGACATTTTACATTGTTGAGTATAGTGGCTAGTAGGTATCTTACTGTATAGCACACACAGCTAGAGAAAATTTCCATTATCATGAAAGTTTCTGTTGGGAGTTATACTAGGACATTGGAGTCCTACAACACATATAGACCTTTTCAGAGTACATGCAGTTGTAAATCCCTTACTTTTTTTGAGGCGAGGTCTCACTGTGTGTGGTCCAAGTTGGCATCAAACTTTTGACAGTCCTCCTGCCTCAGACTTCTGAGTGCTGAGACTACAGGCATGTGCCACCATGCTTAGCTAAAATCCTTTACTTGTAATTGAAGTAGACATCTCTTCTATGCTTAGGGCAATTAGACAATATGAAATAGACTATATGTCTTTTACTGTGCATACTGTTTAGCTAATTTTGCATAGTGATATGTCTTAAAACTTGGAAATTGTGTTGTAGGGAATCCCTGGAGATAGAGAAAGTCAGGCTGTGGTTGACCCTCCTCAAGCAGCTAGTGCTGGGGCACCTCAGGCCACTGCAGTGGCTGCAGCTGCAGCGACTACAACAGCAGCGACAACGACCACAAGTTCTGGAGGTAAAGTAGAATTCATTATCTTCAGTGGATTTGCTGTCTAAATGTGCCAGTTCTTCAATATATATACTGCTTTTGTTCAAAAATGTTTGTTTTTCAGGTCATCCCCTTGAGTTTTTACGGAACCAGCCTCAGTTTCAACAGATGAGACAAATTATCCAACAGAATCCTTCCCTGCCTCCAGCATTGCTACAACAGATAGGTCGAGAGAATCCTCAGTTGCTGCAGGTGATAACTTATTGTTAACTTTGAAAGTGGGTTAGAATGTAGTGCATCACATTTTTGAGAAATTTCATGAACATCCCTTGGCTAGACCATAATCCAAGCTACGCTGAGTAGAATATTAAAGAGTGGGGGTGTAGAGATTAAGTTGGTCAAATAATAGTTTGGGAAGTATTTTGTATTTCCTTTTTGCAGAGTCCCAGGGTACATTAAAACATACTTGAGAAGCTGTTTAACAGAGAAATTGCTTAACTTTGTAAATCACTTTTTTATAAGTTTATTATTAGTGAGACACCGTTTCTTAAAAGAGTATAGCTCTTGGGCTAGGCATGGTACATGCCTGTAATTTGGGAGGCTGAGGTAGGAGGTTCACCATAAGTTAAGGGTCAGCCTGAACTACATAATGACTCTCAGAACCACCTTTGCCTCCCAAAAAGAGAAAAGCAGCTGTGGACTTACTTAATGCTCAAATCAAGAAGCATTTTGAGTTTTGTGCATACAGCATTGTACTGCCAATTACTAATTATATGTTTGTATGAAGAATAAATTGCCCAGTGTGGTGATGCATGCATATAATCCCACCACTTGGGAGGCTGAAGCAGGAGAATCATCATGAGTTCCAGGTCAGTCTAGGCTACATAGCAAGATCCTGTCTTACAAACAAACAAAGAGTAAGTTTGTCTCAGCTGCAGTCCCAAAGTAGTTTGTTTGTTTGGTTTGATTTTGTTTTGATACTGGGAATTGAACTCAGGACCTTATGCTTGCCAGGCAGGCACTGTGCCACGGAACTATATCCTCAGCCCCTGCAAAATAATTTTTACTAAATCCTTTTTTTTTTTTTTTTTTTGAACCAGGGATTGAACTCAGGCCCTTCGCTTGCCAGGCAAGTGCTTATTCCACTGAGCCATCTGCCTGGCCCCCAAAATGATTTTTAAACATTGATTTTTATAGGGAGATGTTCATGAAAGAATTTGAATTCACTTCACTGTTCATCTCATTCAAAAATACTGAGTTATACTGAGTTTCTTTAATAGTACGCAAGACATTGCTCCAAAATTGATGTTCAGAGTTCCAGCCTTTTATTTGTATTTAAAGTTTCCGGTTTCCTTAAGATGCTTAATGTCAGTGTATTGTTCTCCTTTGTCCTTCACATTACCGCAGCAAATTAGCCAACACCAGGAGCATTTTATTCAGATGTTGAACGAACCAGTTCAGGAAGCTGGTGGTCAAGGTGGAGGTGGTGGAGGTGGCAGCGGAGGAATTGCAGAAGCGGGAAGTGGGCACATGAACTACATCCAAGTAACGCCTCAGGAAAAGGAAGCTATAGAAAGGGTGAGCTTAAATAAAACTAAAAACTATTTCCTTAGTCCCTGTAGCAACATTTCACATGCTCAGTGTTCGCATGGGGTGGTGGCTCCACAGAGACGGTTCTGTTCCACAGAGCTAAATAGAGACCTGCCTTTGGGATTGCAGTCAGGACAGTGTCTCAGCCTGCTTTGCCTCCTTGCCTTTTGCAAAGCGACAGGACTCACAGTAAAGTGCCTGCCTTACATGGAACAGGTATGCAAATATTTAAAAATTAAAATTTCCTGACATCACTAAAGTGTAAAATAACTGTACTTATGTAGTATAAACATCAGATTTCAACTATGTCCTAGTTCTGCATTTTTACCAGGTTGGTCAATATAGATTATAGTACTTCAGTAACCTAGTTCTTAATAGTACTATGATTACCTAATTTCTCCCTCCTTATTAGTATTTGTGAATAAGTTATAGAATGTATATAATCTGTTTGGGGTTTTTTGGTTGGTGTATGTGTTGGGTTTTTATTTATTTATTTATTTTATTTTGGTGGAACTGGGGATTGAACTCAGGCCCTTGTGCTTGCCAGGCAAGCGCTTATTCTCCTGAGCCATTTCCTTGGCCCCAGGGGTTGTTTTTTGTTTGAGAAAGGATCTTGCTGTGTAATTCATACTGCCTCCATTTCACTGTATAGCCCAAGCTGGCCTCAAACTTGTAAGCAGCAATCCTCCTTCCTCAGCCTCCCTAGGGCTTGGATTACACATATGTGGCACCACACTTGGCTTAATCTGCTCTTATTAAATATTCCACTAAAACTTGTTAGGTCTAGTTAGATTACAGTGTTGAATTGCTCTTCTGTATAATTTTGTCTATTTTTGAAAGTGATGCTGTTACAATCTCTATTATTGTATTGTTAATTTCTTACATGCTATCAGTTTTTACTTGTATTTAGGGGCTCTCCCTACATGTTTACAGTTGTTTCTTTCTGGCTTTCAAGGGAGCAGTCAGAAAATATTCGTTGTTTCTGATGATAATCTTTAAAATCTCTTCTGTCTAATACAACTGTTCCAGCTCACTTTTTTGGTTGTTGTTTGTGTGTTCTGTGTGTCTCATTATTTTGGACATTCTTGTGTTTTTGAATCTAAAGTATGTCATGTAAAAGCATGTAGTTGAATTGTGCCCTGTAATTTGGCAGTTGGTCTTCTTCAGTTATCCTAGCTTTGATTTGAATAAGACTTAGACTCATGTTTTAGTTTCTTACCTTTCATAAATGAACTGTTGCTTTAAGTCTTCATACAGGGTGATTGAGACCATTGAGGAGGGAATTCATAAATAGCATTTAGTTGACAGTAATAGTATTTGCTGAATTAGGAAATGTAAACACTTGAATGTTTTAAAGTCTTTTAAAAATGCCAAGGATGGGGGGGGGGCTGCCCCTTAGCTCAGTTCTTTAAGTGGCTGCTTCAACAAAGCAGTCAGGCTCAGGTTGCTGTGGTTCGATCTCCACAACTCAAGCCAGCCAAGCCTGCCCTGAAGGCATTCAGAGCAAAAAAAAAAAAGAATGCCGAGGATGGTGGTGCACACTTTCAGTCCCACCAACTGGGAAGACTAAGGCAGGAGGATCGCCAAGAGTTTGGAACAACTTGAATGACATCACAAGACCTTGACTCAAAAAACCAAAAAATAAAAGCAAGTGAATATTGAGCCCCAGCACATTTTTAATTTGATGGAACCGGGGATTGAACTCAGGCCCCTGTGCTTGCCAGGGAAGCACTTATTCCACTGAGCCATCTCCCCAGTCGTGTGTGTCCCCCCCCCCCAGCTCATTTTTAATAGACTAGCAAAAAAATGAAAGTAGCTGATATTATCATTTTAAATGCACTGTTTATTGGTCATCTGTGTCTAGTATGAAATGTTGAATAAGGCAGAGATTGAGAATAATACTTGATTCATATGACAGCCAAGAGTTACTTTTAAGGAAGAAAACATTTACATATAACTCTGTGCTGTTAATACTTTCCAATGCTTTCATCCTTATCTTTCTTTACCTTTAAGAACTAAAATCTTTTGATTTATAAATTTCTGTGCGATCTTTTTTTTGTTTAAGCCAGGACAGTTAGCTACCAGTTTCACTAGTTAACTGCTAAATAGTGTTTGCATGGCACACATTATTACTCGTCTTCCAGCTAATCTAAGAACAAAGACTTTGTTCAGTGACTGCTAAAGGTTCCATTTGGCCCCTTGGTTTGGACATTGAATTTTAATTGAGACGGGGTTAAATTCATATAAAATGCTCAGGTGCTTTTCTAGTGGTGTACATTTTCAAGTAGTAATGTGTCAGTATTGCTGTGCAGGAATCCATAGTGTGTGAAAATTGTAAATGCCATGATTGGTGTGTTCAAGTTATTTTTTTCCTTCTTTTCTTGCAGTTAAAGGCATTAGGATTTCCTGAAGGACTTGTGATACAAGCATATTTTGCTTGTGAGAAGAATGAGAATTTGGCTGCCAATTTTCTTCTACAGC